GCCCCTCTCGTTCCCTAAGCATTGATATTGATTATGCTAGTTTAAAGGGTAATCATAGTTGTTAAATGTAGTAAATATTCCTGAATTTGCATTTTATTCTCTGTATATTCTGTATCACGCCATGGCTTGAGAACTCCAGGTGCTACCGGAGTTCAGTTGGCTTTCAGTGCTCTGCCCGTGCCTGTGCTGCTCAGTATGGTTTTTTCCATGAAAACTCCATTTTGTAATAGCAATAAGACATTTCAGGGCAGTCATTGTACTTTCTCAGGTGAATGGTCACCTATCCTTTCACTTCCTACGTTTTAAGCACTCCTCCAAATGTATTTTTTTTTCACCCGGCAGTGCACTTTGTTGTCTGAACTGAAAAAAGTGTTCTGATAAATGATGTAAATCTGTATTCGATGGAAGTTCCAAAAGGTTTCATATTAAATGTTTTCTGAAATACTCTCTTCCTACTTCACCTGTTAAGTATGTAATTGTTGCTAGAAAGTGCACCACTATCATACTTTGGATATTTAAAGTTTGTACTGAAGTATTTTTCTTAAAGTGTTCTCAAAAGTTTCTTTCAGAGTAAATCTGTATTTGAGGTATTAGAAAAAAAAATATTATCATAATCAGAAACAGGTTTTTAACAGCTTCCTTCCCAAATGCCTTATAAAATTACCAGGTTACAAGAATATACCCTTGTTTCTTTAGCATGCCGCATGCTTACTGTTCAGGCCTCTAGGAGTTGCCTGGAAAGGAAAACTGCATCCTTCAGATCGCCAAACCAAAGACGAACTTCTTCCCGAACACAGACCTTTTACTTGTCCGTATTCCTTGGGCATCCGTGTAGCTTTATCAGCTCTGCTGGTGATATGACTCTGCAGAACTACAGCTGTTTCTTCTCTCCTTAGGAGACAAATTTAAAAATAACCTGGAGGTGGCCGTGCGGTGAGGACGTAGCAGCAGGCCCAGGCATTCCGAGATGCGTGTCCGGCGACTGCAAAGTGGTTTTATGTAGTGGCGTGACTGGTGTCCTGGAACGCGTGGTCCGAATGATGTGCTGGGGGGTGTTGGCAACGGGCTTATGACTAAAGGTTTGCATCGCCAAAACCTACCTCTGCCAGCTCTGACGATGTCTCTTGGGTGCTGGATCTGGAAAAGAAAAATGTCTTAGAATTTGGGTTGCGGGGAGTTGACTGCTTTAAAGAAAAGTGTTTAAAGATACGTATGTTAAAAAACATCTGGGCACGAGCGAGCGAGTTCAGATCAACTTTTTCTCATGCAAACCTTCCCTTTCTAAAGCACCTCAGTCTAATTGATCTCTATACGAGGTCTAAGGTCCTCGACCACATTGAGAAGAAGTAGAGAGAGGTAGGTTAGAGGAACAGCTAGTCCTGCTGGTCTAAGTGTTTTGCATACTTTTATTCCAGTTACAGCATCTGGTCCAATCTTTGTAGGTTTGAAGATTTTTTTTTACTACAGGTTTGGGCAAGGTTCACCTTTTTCTCTTGTATTACAGTGAAATTTCAAGAGCAAATATAGTGAGATACTGTATCCCAATTTTTTTTAATTGCAGCATTTTTTTCAAGGTAAATTAGATTATTAAAAATAAATCTAAAAGTAATATCCATGTTTATGTTAAATAAAGGAAGCCAGAGTTTCAGAAGTCCTTCTAGTCATATGGAAAGATTGTAGCAGATCAGTAGGAGATTTCTCTAATTCCCTTAAAAGCTCAGATATACATCGGCCTTTTGGGGTAATGTGTAGAGACTTTTAATCAGTCTTTCCCACAGTTGCTGCGTCACACACGGTGTTGTGGATTTTACTTTAATTAGGACTGCAGCCAACCCAGAGAACCATTATCTCTCTGAAGGACGTGCACTGACACTTTGAGTTAAAACCCGCTTGGTGGTGCTGGTTTCGGTTCCTGAAGGGCCCGGCAACCTCCTCACTGGGTATGGCCCGAGCCCACCGCCAAGCTGGTGTCCTTCTCTGTGTTTCAAGGGTGGGGTGGCGGGGTGATCCTTGCTGTGCAGATCAGCTGTCTGGGACGTGTATTTTCTTAGAAACCTAAAGAGAGAAATACTTGGAGAATCTCAGCGGTAGATGGTGTTTCTGTTGGGGGGGGTGGTGGGGTGGTGTCATACTAATGTAAAATTTTGGTTTCTAATTCACAATGCACGTGTTTAGGAAATACTAAATACAGTTTTAGAAAGCTGATCCCACTGTAGATTAACATTTAATTTTAAACATGTAGGTTTGCAATTTCCTGTATTTCCAACTGTTGATACAATCTCATTTCTCTAAGTTTTCATAGAAGATCCCTGGAGCCTTCCTGTGAAGATAGGCTCACGTTATTACACATCACTGATGCTGCCAATTAAACCCCCAATCTGACATTCTGATGAAGTGTGGTTGTGAAAATTCCACCTTTGAATGGAATTTTTCCCTCTGATAGCAGTGAATTGTTCCATTGATTTCACCACTGACCATTACTCCATCGCTTCAGAGAAGAAACTGTGATCCATCAGGAGGGGGTGTGAGCTTTGGATAAAAGTTCAACCTAGTGCAATTAAGAGTTTTTTAAAAGTTACACTTCGTACCAAAGGCACATCATTGTCCTACATTACAGTGGCAGTATATGCAGAGAGAAATCCAAGAACACAAGGCAGATAGAGTAATTGTTGTCCGTGTGTGTGTGCTCCTCACATCTGACAAATTTAAGAGCAGGAAAAAAAGCTAACCTTTAAACTTACACAGATAACTCAATGGTTTTCGGGTTCCTGTTTCTGCTGGTCTCTTCTTAATGTACTGCCTCCAGCGAAGGGGCAGGATAAAATGAGTGAAACCATCTCAACCTAGTGCAATTAATAAGAGTTTTTTAAAAGTTACGCTTCGTACCAAAGGCACATCATTGTCCTACATTACAGTGGCAGTATATGCAGAGAGAAATCCAAGAACACAAGGCAGATAGAGTAATTGTTGTCCGTGTGTGTGTGCTCCTCACATCTGACAAATTTAAGAGCAGGAAAAAAAGCTAACCTTTAAACTTACACAGATAACTCAATGGTTTTCGGGTTCCTGTTTCTGCTGGTCTCTTCTTAATGTACTGCCTCCAGCGAAGGGGCAGGATAAAATGAGTGAAACCATGGAGGAGCGGTCTCCACCCAATGCTTCAGAAGTTGAAACAGTATGGTATCTGAAAGACCCTTCACTGGTCATTTTTAGCCTTTTAAGAATGTTTTAACCTTTGGTAGAAGTGGTGTGCTCTTGTTCCAGCAATAACTGATAACAGACTGTTGTCAATCCCAACACTACGAATCCTGTAAGTATCTGTGCACAGAAGCTGTGTTCAGGGCACTAATTGCTGGTTGTTGGGTGTTCATCTTCACCTGCGAGCGCCATTAACACCTTGCAGTGGTTGCGGCTTAGCAGGTAAGATATTTCTTGCAGGGTGGGGAAAAAAGCGCTTTTGCTTGGGTTTTGCTTATGTGTGTTGAGCACTTGGAGACTGTGTGCTCTGAGACGCGGATGTAAAATTCATGCAGAGTGGCCACAGTTATGGTTGCTGTGGGAACCACGGCATTGATTTCAAGGCGTAGAAACATTGCAGTTCTCATCCCTTTAATACCATTATGTTACCGTTTAATAATATCCTTATGAAATTCAGGGCATAAAAACAAAATATTCCTACAGTTCGTGTTTCTTTGTAGCTGCTGGTCACACTGAATGCATTGGGGCCATAAAATCAAATAATGAAATATCTCACCATGAAAATAACTCTGTTAAAACATATGGGGATGCAAAATTGGAAAGTGAAGTGCCACTGGTGTTACAATCGCACCGTTTTCAGTCATTTACCTCTCTCAAGGTTAAGTTCTGTTTGCTTGGAGGTGTCTCTTACCCAGAGCTCAGCTCGGTGTGAGCGC